ATATTTGGTGTGCATTGGCAAAGCTATAAGCAATGACCCTGCAATGGGGCCTCCTTTCATCTGACTTTTGGCTCACTTTCAACTCACGGTACAACACATTGTGAGTTACATTGCATGGTTTAGAAAGATACTGCTATTACTCCATTATACTTATCGTGACTCACTTGTATTTATACCACTAATATTGAATATCTTTTAGGAGCTGACCATCTTGTAGCAGGAGGCAGCACACAAGGAGCTATAGAGCAGGGCGTTAGGAGATATGACAGGCGTGGAGGGCAAAATGGGAGGAAATGGCCGTTCAGAGAGCAGGTGGATTTCCACAAAGTGGAAAGTTAAAGAGCAGAGAGTGAAAACTGTTTTCCGTAACAGGAAGGTGGTAGACAGAGAGCAGCCCCTTAACAATACACAGAGCTGACATCTTAATGAAGATGGGTCTGGACTTCTAAACTAATTAATTTAAAATTAACATGGTGCCTGATGGCAGGGATGGGTGTAAAACACTTTACCAAAACCCTGTTACTTGGTCTTCAATGTTGTTGCCCTCCATTCCCCACGAGTGGATGATTGTGCAGGAATGGTATATGCTTTCTAAATGAGGTGCATTATATAGACATAAACACTTGTAAGGGTACCAAAACACTCCAGTTACATGGCAATTTGATCCATGTTTATTAAGCTGGTGTTTTAGAATGCTGAGATTTGTATAAATGATACTTTTAAGCAACACAAGCTGACTAAGGTCTGAATTTCCCTTTAATTCCATAGGCTTGTGACCACATGTACTCAATATAAGTGTAATGATGGGCAGCATGGTGGTGCAATGTTTGGCATTGCTGGCTTGCAGTTCTGGGGCCCTGGGTTCAATTCTGGACCTGGGGTCCTATCTGTGTGGAGTTTGTATGTTCTCCCTGTGTTTGCATGGATTTCCTCCAAATGTTCCAGTCTCCTCTCACAGTCCAAAGACATGCTGGTAGTTTAATTGGCTTCTGGGGAGGTTGGCGCTGGTGTGAGTATGGGCACATCTATGTCTGTGTATGTGTGTGCCCTGTTCAGGGTGTACCCCACCTTGTGCCCATTGCTTGTGTCCTGTTCAGGGTGTACCCCACCTTGTGCTCCGGCTCCCCTGTGACCCTAAATTGGATGGGGCAGTTAGAAAATAGATGAATGGAGTAATGGCCGTGAATAACTCCAGCATCTGGTGCTGGTTGAGAGTGTGAAGCTTCATAAAACCTGAAATGGATCAGATTGCAATACAGCGGGTCTGATCCATTTCCCCACAGTGAGATGGCCAATCCAAAGGTGTGCACCCAGCTACAGTTCAGAACAGAGGTTCAGGGCTGCAGAGGAAGGAAAATAAAATGACATTCCATAATGAATTAAAAGCAAATAACAAATGTATGACATTAAAAGAAGGCTTGCCTGTGAGCATTTCAAAGCCCAACCTCGGGCAGAAAGGGCTCTGCCACAGAGAAAGCCTTGTTTTTCTTTTGAGGTTGCTTTTCACAGAAAAGAGACCGCAGTCCGGCCAGCTCATTGTTCAAATATGGCACAGGAAGCAGATGTCATGAGGACAATAGGAAACATCTGAGTATCGAAGTTTTGACAGCCGCAGCCCAGAGGAGTAAAGAAAAGAAAGGCTAAACATTGCAGAGCGGGTTTAACCCTTTCTGCCTTAAACATTAAATGATCTGAAATTAGGTCCTCTGCAGCTATTAGAGCATGGGTGTGCTGAGATGATCTCTGACACAGGGATGCAAAGATAAGATAAGAGATAAGATCACTTTATTGGCCATATACAATTTCTTGTATTAGGAATTTGTCTTTTCCCATACCCCAACTTGCTCTCCATGACACACACAGACAGGGAGAGAAGCTTGGGGTCAGAGCGTAGGGTCAGCCATTTATATGACACCCCTCAAGCACTTGGGGTTAAGGGCTTTGCTCAGGGGCCAAATGGAGTAGGATTCCTCTGCCGGCCACGGGATACAAACCGGCAACCTTCCAGCAACAGGCGCAGATCCTTAGCCACAGAGCCACCACACCCCCAAAAAATTCCCCCTGTGCTGCATTAATGCAATTGTGGCATATCAGCTGAAGTGAGGATAGTAAATAGCATCTTACCTGCCACTAGAGACTGTTATGACCTCTAGTTTGTATGTAGGTTCACATGAGATACGTCATTTAATTAGTTAATTGGTGGAGGTCTAAGAACCACATGATCACATGGGGTTAATTTAGACTGGTGTACAGAGGGACTCAGCTTGTGGCAGTTGGTTTTGGGGTTTTTTAGAGCCTGAGCTGGGTCTTTGATGGTATGGTAGAAGATTGTTTTGCTGGCATAAAGACTTTTTTATACCACCCCTCCACCTCTGATTTGCTGGCCATCATGAGTTTCAGGCCTCGTGAGCCACCTACTTACAGGAAGGCCTGTCACAGTCATACTCCATTGAGCTCCTGAAATCTGTTGAGCTGTGGAGCCATGGCTACCTAGGGAGATCATCATGTAGAAGAAAAGACACTCGGAGTTGCTTCTTTAGTATTACTGACAGTGCTCAACTTTCAATTCAGGCTTACATGAAGAATTGTTTTTCTTTATAACAGAAAGTAATTATGATTTAAAGCAAATCTCCCTGTAGATGTCATGTCAATTTCACTTGAATTTCAGATAATTCATAAAAGCAATTCCTACTACCTGGCAGTCTGAGTATCTTAAAAAGCCTAGAGAGCCTGTCATGTGGTGTATGCAAAGAAGCACTTCAGAAAATTCTTTACAGCAGGCTCAACTCACTTGAAATTAATATATTTGCACCAGGTGTGTTGTAGGTTATGGTTCCAAATTCCTGACTAGAACGTTTCTTCTCAGGCAGAAAGCCTGATGTTTTAAAATGCTGTAAGACTGTTGCTGATCTATGGTGTGAAAACGATGGGTAACTTCACACTTCTTAACATGCATTTAGTTACAGTTGCCTGTACCTTTCCTCTTCAAGCAAATGCATTGCCTGTGTTCAATACCTTTAAGTTCGATACTTTATTGCCATAACGACTAGTTGCATGGATTTGGTATGAAAGTCATCAGTAAAATTAAAAGTGAAAGTAAAAAATGTGCCTGTTTGACAGTTTCTCACTGGCTTTGAGACTCAGCACTCAGCTGCTGTAATTGTGGAGAACAATAGTGCGTCTCTGGGTGGAACACCCACAACTATTTGTATAAAGTTCCCACTTGTGTACTCTAGTTGGTGTTTCACTGTTAATACTGAAGAAGTATATTGGGTTGCCATTGTCAGTGTATTTGAGGATTTTGGATACTTGAATCGGTTCCCATTTAGTCTGTTCTGCTCAAGACTTCCCTCATCACAACCTCAACAGAAGGCAATCCAGAAAGGATGAGACTGCCAGTATTTCATGCCCTTGTGGAAAACACCCCACATCCTATTTAAACCTTTTTTGTTGTGTGCACACAGGCAAATATGTTATTTGCTAGATGATTCCTAATATTTTAGCCAGTCTGGATTAACAGACCAGGAGGCCTAGAACATTTTAAATTCAACATTAATTTAGTAACACAGACTAAACGTTGTACTCTTGTCAAGTTTTGGATGGTAACAAATCTCTCTCCAAAGGAAATTCGACAAACACACACTGCAGGTATGTGACGTGCAAATTAAGTGATGGCATAAAGATGATGTTATGTTTTAAAAAATACGCTGGGGCATTCTCTGGTGCCTCCTTCCATCTCTAATAAGTTACACCTCCCATTTCCACAGGAAACTGTGTCACAAAGGTGACAGTTGCCACAGTTGCTGTGCACAGTCAGTGCAAAAGTATGATGAGTCAGCACTGCTTCCTGGAGACTAAGGTTCAAAGCCACAAAGTAAAATGATGAATGGAGTGGTGTGCTTAACAGTCACTTTATACTATTTAACGGGGCAGGAGGTCAAGGCACCTGTTGAAGTATAACATACACTTGATTCCTTCACTGGAAACAGTGAGCAGGGCCATCCAGCACCTACTGTAGATATCTTTCTCATGGTCACAGAAACTTCCTGCTATTAAAACACCAGACACACGTTGTGTCATTTACTTTCATTAAGGATGTCTTCTTTTAAGAGTGTTGGTTTAGGGGTTTAAAGAGGGCTAGACACCTTCCCAAGCTGAAAGGCACTGAACTGCGATGACAAACAGCACTTCATCTTCTCGGGCTCACTCAGCAGCAGCTCACAGAAGGCTAAGAGGCCTCCCAGAAGAAAACTGGGAAGAGTTTGACTGCTGTTTCTGGAACCAAACAGATACCGAGGCCCAGATGAAATCAAAGCCACATCATGTCTGAAAGTGATGCAACATTCACCTCCTATTTGTCTTCTTTACTAAACGTAAAAGTTCTGTCATAATTTGTCATTGGTTTGCCTGCTCTCACAATCTCCTCTATTACACTTTTTGAGCCAATTCAAAGAGATGTTGTTTTTACACAGAGAGTGGTCAGTGTTTGTTTCTCCTGGTGGACCCAATGAGCTGCAGTAGGCCCTTGCTCACACCAGATGCAGCAACAGAAGTTCTTATCGGAACTTCCACTTATCGGAAATCATGACCTTCTTTATTTGCAGAGTGCAGACACTCCACTTCTCAAGTTAAATCTTCTCAAGTTAAATAAGCGGCTTACTTTTTTAAATTGCTGTGGAGTTTATCCTGATCCACATCCAGTTCAAATCAGAACAGGATGTACCTCTTTTTTTTTTCTTCATAGTCCATATCATGACTCAAGATTAAGAATAAAAGTGTTTCGTCCTATGCAAGTTGAAAACATGTCTTTTGGCGATTCCTTCACTTTAAGCAAAAGCACAAAGACAGATTTGGGAAGTCATTGGCAATCGTACATTGCACCAGTAAGAGGTGAATTTTGCTTAAACAGGAATATTGCTTTTCCCACTCACCCAAATGTATCTTATTGGATAATATATGCTTTGCACCTTCCCTGTTTCCACTTATAGTAAAAGAAGAGTCCAGAGAAAAAACACAAAGGAAAAGATTCTTTTGGCTGAGGTCAAAGGTACCGGCACAACAGCAGGCTCCTTCCTAGAGAATTGTTTTCTTTTCCCTTCCGCACAGCAAGGATGACCTGGTTGCACTGGGACAAAGAAGTAATATAACAACGCTCACAGGACTAACTGCTTGTCTCTTGACATTCAGGTTTTAAAACCTTTTTGTTGAAAGGAGAAATCAAGAAAAGAAAATCACACCAGTTAATGATTCTCTTGAAGGTCATTTCCGTCTTTGCTACTGCCTTTAATGTGCATGTTGTGTGTCTTTTCTGCAGTCGCCCTGTGAAACAGCTCGTTCTCTCTGCATATATAACATAACATGCAGTCTTGTCCCTGGGTGTAAAGGAATAAAGGGATACCCTGCAGATTATTTCTACTACCACAAGGTTATTGCTGGGCAACCTTTTAATAAAAAGATTCACTTAGAGACAGCAATGGATTTTTTTGCTGTTTTTGGAGGAGTAGGTATTGTTGGCATTGAAACAAACAAATCTGAATATTTGATTGTTCCGGAAAATTCCTGCATCCTTGAAAAAAAAAAAGACTATTAACTAATTATTTAAATGTATTTGGTGTTGTGTGTCAATGATATTCCTGACTATCCTGAACACTAATTAAGCCCTACATGTAGTAGGTAAATTAATTTAACTAGTTTTTTAACTAGAACACTATACTGAGGTGGTGACATGGGAAAGGCATTTGTGGGTTTAGCTCTCACAATATTCTACCCTGGAACAAGATTCCTCACCCACATTGTTCCAGTAAATTACCCAGCTGTATAAATAGGTGATTTGGATAAATGTGTCGGTCAAGTGAGTGTACGCTATTTAATACTCATGGAAAGGCTGGGTAGCGTGGTTAGGCTCCCGCTGTTTAAATCTCTGACGCCCTCAAGTGGTCAAATGTTTAAATCGTTTTTATTGAGAAGAGGGGTCAATTCAGCTTCATCCAAATGGCTAGACAGATTTCTCTAGCGCTCCTACTGCTGCTGAAGTCTGAAGAAATGCCTCCTGTTTAGACCTGCTCTCATTTCTCATTGTTGCAATTCTCATCTTGGCGTGCTGTCTTACTACCATGCAGCCCACTGAAATCACAGAAGAAGGATCCTTGCAGGGAAATGCAACACCATCTATACACAGTATGTGTAGGCACATATTTCTATCTATATGTACTGCAAAAAGAAATCAACATGACAAATACATGCATGTACAAATAATGCATGCCTGTAATTTCCTATTTAATAGCAGATATACAAGCTCTTGCACAAGGCTTTCCAAAAGGAACATGAATTTGCCATATTGTCCTACAAATTACTGTATATCAGTACAACAAATACATAGGATCTCTCATTTTAGTTTTTGGTACCTTTAAAAAAAATGTTCTGTCGTAGAACACTGTGTAGAAGAACACAGTGATTTGTGTGTTACCAATTTTCTCCTATTATCAATAAAAATGATTAACTCAATACAGGTATGAATGCAATCCTGCAATGTGTGTTACTATTGGCCCCATGATTCCTTTCTGATGAAGCATTATATAGGTGTTCCTGTCTTGACCCATGTGACTTCACACTGCTGCTCAGCCAGCACACAGGGAATGTTCCATTGAGTCAATGAAATGGGGAGCACTCGGCACATGCCAAGTGAAAAACAAATGTCAGTACACAACAGGGATTCAGATTCAGGTCCAACTGAGATCTCGTCTATCAAGTTCCGGTGTGACAGGCTGAGTCATCTTTATGCAGCAGCTTTGGGGAGTCAGAGCAGAGACTCTCTGATGGAATCCAGGACCTTGATGTCCACTCAGCGCTCGTGTCACTCTCCAGCAGCCACTCGTCCACTCGCTGCTCTGCCAACATTTCAGCTCTGCAACGTTCTCCAGTGCCCCAGTCCTCTTCCAAACACACTTCCCCGCTTTCTTATCTTGTTGGTTAGAGAGTCTGTCCACAGCACTCACCACAGCACAGGGGTGGGGCTGGAGCTCCTATTCCACACAACACACGTGATATTGCCCTTGTAGATCTGGGAGGGCACATCCTGACTCTCCTGGCATGTAGGGACTGTGCGTGCCATCCATACACCGGTAGACCTACAGGCCAGTTATTTCATCTACATTCCCTGCCTTCTCAGTGTCCTCCTCCCTCTCTCTCTTTCCCCCTTTTGTCCTTATTCCCACCCCAATCCTTTAAACTCTTCTCTGCGCCTCACCTTTTTCATACTCTTCCTCTTCCTTTATCCCACCTGTCTAAAATACTTTCTCTTTTCTGCTTCTCTCTCCTTCTCTCACTCCAGTGTTCGCCTTTTGTTCTCCCCCCACTCTTCCTCCACCTCTGCCCCTCAGACCCCCCCCATCACTAGCCCCCCCCACTCCGCTCTTAGTGCAGGTGCCAGTCTTGGGGTGCCCAGTCCTGGGGTGCCCAGGGGTGTTGGCTCAGGAGGCGGAGGTGGTTGTGCTGGAGTGTGCGCAGTTCAGTCAGGCGCCCCAGCAGCCGGGCGAAGCGCCGCGGGTCCCTGGGGTGGCACTGGCCGCTCACCCTTCCCAGCAGCTCCAGGACAGGCTCCTGCAGGGTCTCCACCTGGGCGGGGGCACGAAGCAGGGGCCGATCTGAGAGGAGGGGTCAGAGAGAGGGGGAGGCAGAGCATCAGTCTTCACCTCTCCCACTTATGGAAATCGGGAATTTCCAATGAAATTCGGGAGCGCAGGCAGCCGGCTATAGCACTGGGCCTTGAGGGAAAAATGAGCACATCTCAATATCTCAGTCTTTCTTTTCAGCTCTGAATCCGGCTGCTTGAAAAGGGACTTGGAACTCAGAGTCTTATAATAATAGTTACTTATAATAATAATTCCTTACACTTATATAGCACTTTTCTTGACACTCCTCTCTGAGCACTTTACAGGTAATGGGGACTCTCCTCCACCACCAATGTGCAGCCCCACCTGGAGGATGCAACAGCAGCCATAGTGACCAGTACACTCCCCACACACATGCTATCAGTGGGGAGAAGAACAGAGTGATGAAACTGATTGATAGATTAAGAGGCATTTGGGGCCACACAGACCACAGGGTGAGCACCCCCTTCTGGCCCCACTAACATCACTTCCAGCAGCAACCTTAATTTTTTTCCAGGAGGTCTCCCACCCAGGTCCTGATCAGGCTCACACCTGCTGAGCTTCAGTGGGTTACTAGTTGTGAATTGCAGGATGATAAGGCTGCTGGCTGGAACTCCCACTCCCACATAAATTACACAAAATTAGTAATATAATAGAATAATGCCAAAGAAAATCCTGGTCTTGTGCTAATGAAGAAGTATAGAAACATCATGTATGTATCAGCTTTTCAAGTACAGTAGTGCACATGTGGGTGGCAAACTTAAATATATATTACAAAATAGTTATTGGAAATGTGATTTAACCTAAACTATATCTAAGCTGTGTTTTTCAAGTTAAAAAGCAACTTAGTTCCATAGAATGGGGGATCAGATGTAATCAGAAATTGACAGTGGGGTCCACAAGGGGGCGATACTTACCAGAGCAAAGCACAGCAGTGGCAGTGAGGAGGGCATATTCTGACTCGGTCACCCCCAGGACACCCATACTGCGGAAGAAGCTAAGGACTGTGGTCAACAGATCCTCTGTCACTTCTGCAGACACAAACACACACACCAGATCAGGTAACACATCACTGTCGCCCTTTCTTTCTGACTTCCAGCACTTCATGCTGTCCAACTCTGCAATCTTTCTGCATGCTGGTCTTTTTGTCTAGTCTTAGATCCTCTATTACCAATTTTCTGTGTCCCCCTCTGACTGACATTTGGGCTCTTCCTTTTTGCCCATTTTCAAGATTCAGACTCTTTGTCTTGATTGCCCTTCATCCTCCCTGCTAGCTAGTGTCGAAGGTCCATATTAATTACCATTTCCGACACACTCTCAAGCTGGCCGAATACTGTTCCCACTAGTCTGTCTGTCTCTGAGGATGGTGATTGGTTACCTGTGACCCCAGGGATTTCTGTTCCAGACCGCAGGCTGGGATCCAGGCCACGTGTCCAGTACAGGGGAGAATGCTCCAGGCTAGAGGGATACACAGCTGAAAGCGGCCAGGCCAAGGGATCTGAAACCAGGAATGGAGCGGTACCTCTCACTAGACTTAAAGTCACATCACATACAACCACTGACATGGCCCCTGTGTTCACTGCCCATGAACACTACCTACAGTATGTCACTTAAAACACCTATAGAAGAGAATGAAAGCAGTGCACTCCACAAATCTTTATATTTACCAGGTGTCTTAATTTAAACAATATGCTATAGCGAATAAACGAGGACATCAGAAACTCACAGGCCAAGGCTGAGAATCCCTGTTGATAATGTGCTTACACATTTGACGATGTGCTGAGCACGATCTGTAACCATCATCTCACAAGCATCTGGCTATGTCCAGAAAAACAGGGATGATTATGGGGATAGGGGGGTGAAAACCAGAGCTGATTTCAAATAATTAGAAGGGTATTGCAGCATTCAGTGTTCAAATCACTGCTGATGAGGACAATCTACAGAGAAGCAGGCCGATCAAGATTGTCACTCTGCTAAAAGAGTTGATATCTGAGTTTAGGAACTCATCCACCTGATTTCTGAAAGATTCAGGGAAACAGATAGCTTCATACAGCACGTCTGAGTTGCTTGTTCCAGACACCCACTAGTCTTAATGCAAAGACGTGTTTCTGGGTTTAAGTCCTGAATTCATCCTCACATCCTCTTCATTGACATTCATGTCCATCATGCCGTGTTTTATTTCTGGTTACCGATCAAGATTGCAGAAGGTGCAAGGGTAATGTGAATACAAGAAAACAAGTTATCAGAGGAAAGAAAGCTAAAATAAAATTGGAATTTATCTATCCCTTGCTTTTGGGACTCCAGTGCCTTTTGATCCTTTGCACTATCTGAGCTCTTAGTTGCTTCCCTGTATTTAAATTTTATTAAGTACAGTCTTTAGTCTACTCGGCATTTGTTGGCGATTTGGTATGTTAATTTCAGAAGTTAAATAGCCTCTCTAGTTTAAAAACCGAAGTCCTGGGATCAGCATGGCTTGGTGCTTAAAGATAATGAAAAATAATTTTGCATCCAGCTTCCAGCAGCTGCCCCATACCTGTTGTGGCCCTCTTCGGCCCCTGGTTAAAATGCTGAGCTGAGTGCAGGAACATGACCTCCACAGTGGAACCCCTAAGCAGAGAACTCTGATCCTCACAGTCTAGGAGCTCAAACCCTGTGGAAAATGTGAAGAAGATATGTGAGGCGCCAGTCAGGCTATGGACAGCTATTGAAGGATGGACTTATTGTATTGATCTGACAAAAAAAAAGAGGAAACTATCACAGATTAGATACAGGGAAATTAACATGTCCAAGCTCAGTGTAAAACTAAAATTTATCTTCTCTCTTCTGAAAAAAAAAAACAACGGAAGGTGACTACAGTAAGTGCAGGGCTTACCAGGCAGACTCCTGGCAAACAGCAGCAAGGCATGGCATTGTGGTGATGCCAGACCTGCCAGCCTGTCAAAGCCCTCCTCAGCATCTGGCATGTCAAAGACCTGTGGAGATGCCAGAAAAGGCCACAATCTAATTTTAGGACCATAAGGACATTAAAAAAGGTTACAGACCACAGAAGTTTTTTATGCCATTATTAATTGGCCAATTGATCTTGGGATCTCAATCTCCCACTTCTGGAATTGTTCATTAACCTTGTGGATTAGCCTTGAAATTGAAAAAGTTGTTCATTAACCTTGAGCTGTTGACAGCACACAGAGTGGAAGACTCTCCTTAGATGTGTAGCTACCCCGTCACAGGTGAAACCCCATTCTAGCAATGATCAGCTGAGACTAAACAACAATGGCACACAAATCAGTTTTGTATGAGATCCTTCCAGGATACTATAGGGTCAGCAACATGAATTATAGGTTATATATAAGATGAGGACCTTATATCTGTCCATTAATTTGTTTTCTACTTGCGCTTTTAATCGAAGCTGGATCTAAATAAATCCTGTGCAGTTTTCCCTAATGGTGTTCTTCTGCCCTACATGAACTCCACTCACAGTTCAGACACAGATGGATGAGTTTGTCCTGCAATCTTAAAAGTGGGCACATACTCGTTTCACCCCCTGACTCCCTGTCAGTCAAAAGCACCCAAGCATCATTAAGCAGAAAGTAGGAGAGTGAGAGCATAAGGAAAGGTTACACACAAGAGAGGCCCATGTGGCTCATCTATCAAACATACAGTTTATAACGTAGTTGGTTGCTGTGACAAGTTTGATCCAAGTCTCTCTTGCATTAAATATATTCATTTACAGGGAATTTACCCCTGCCTATGGGCTCAGTAGGACCTTATTTATCACAAAGGCACTGATGTTTTGACAGAATGATTTTAGCACAAATAAAGCCTATTTGAATCATACCTGACAACAAGAGAAAACCATGGTAGCACAGTGCAATTCCAAAACACAAAATACCAGGAGTGGTCAAAGCCAGCCTGTCAGGAGAGTGAAAGGCTAAGGGAAGGGTGCCCTACTGTGCTGGGTAGTGTCTCGTGTTGCCCGCGGTACTTCCGATGAGCCTCAACAATGCCATCTAGCAACCTCTGCTCCTCAGGAGTCAGCCCTGTGTTGCCCTGCAAAGAGAAATGAAACACCACAGGGCTCAAACATGTGCTCAGACTCATTACTGTGCTGTTGTAAAGAAGCAGAATGCAAAGTGTAGGAAACCAGGGCAAAGGGAAGAACAGCAGGGTCTTAACATTCATGAGTTTCAAGGGTTCGGTGCAGAGAACTGTCACGCATAGCCAAATGTTGAATATATCAACCCCCATACAATCGCATAATGTACTACAATATATAGTATGTATGGTTAAAAGACAAAACTAATCCTCCCTTATATGTTAAATTACTAATATACTGCCTTAATTAGTTCATTCAAATAACATTGATCAACTAAAAGAACAGTAATCACAAACGTATCGTAATCATCTAAAATAAACAACACGAATCCCTACTCTATGTCCAGAGGATGCCTGTACTTTCTCTCTCTGTCACCTTGATTAGCACAGTCCTATGCAATGAGAAGGGCAATAAATCCATCAGCAAGCCCATAAAGTCATCTCCAGCCTGTCTTTCTACACATCGCCGATTCAACCAGGAGCGTTTGTTGCAATACAAAAATAAGACCACGCTGAGATGCAGATGGTGGGTAGTGGGTACTCGGGCAGAGGGCAGGGAGATGCTCCCTCACAAGCTAGATTCATCTCACGATGCTAGGCTGTTACGCTTCTGATCTGAAACTTGTGCTTCACAACCTTCTGCTTGGTTTCATCCTGCTCTACTCTTCTTCCATCCAAGACCCCATCAGCCAGACCTAATAACGAATAAGCAAATCTGGGAATGTTGAATTTGCAGATGTCGAGACCCTGCTGTATATGCACGATTCAAGCATGGTTCAAACAGAAGCTCAAGGCATAATTACCAAGCACATTTGCCCATGGTACATTTTCACAAGCATAACCTCATCATGGTTGTTAAGCAAGACTGGGTTTAAGCCAGAAGGGCTGGGTACCTGGCCTGGCAGCCTGCTGGTGGAGGAGACCTGTCGACTCTCTGTGCCCTCGTCTTCCTCCTGCTTGATGGCACACAGTATGTCCGAGCCCTGCTTGGCACTCTTGCGTAGCCTCTTGGATTGACACTGTACCTCTGTCAGCAGGCCTAGAGAGGATCCACCAAACATGGCTGAAAGATGACATATCACTATCGGATGTTATAAAGACACTCCTTATAGCCAACGTCTTTCATCCTCTGTCACCAGGTTTTATCAGCACCTCACTTGTACAATACACTTAGTAGGCTCACTTGCCAGAAAGGACAGAATGAGAAGTGTTAAAATGATTCATAACCACACATGTTGTGCAAAATTCTCGTTTGCTGCTGTTAATGTTAAAAAAAGCAGACATCATTTACCGAGAACCAGCTAGCAATCAGAAAATACAGTCAGACCAGACCAGAGTACCAAACCGTTCTCTGTTTATTGCTCATTTACTCTGGGGTCATTTGCACAGCCAGTCCTAAACCAGCTAGGCTGCTTTGATAACTATACTTCTACACACATGATGTAAGTAATGTCTACAGCATATTTATTAATTCAGAGATGTCAATAATACCTTCATTCTGGCCAATTGCCCTCTGAGATGGTGTAGTACACTGATTTTCTCAGTAGAGTTTCAAAACCTATTCCATGTTATACTGGGGAGAATGACATTTATATGTTTTCGCTGCATGTTTTTCTCACTGTCCCAAGAAAACAGTCGGTCTTCATCAGACAGCTTCTTGTCAGCACCCCAGGATTAAGCAAGCTGTTTGGTCAGATTTGCACACACAGCATTTACAAATAATTGCTTAAACTTATTTAGCACTTTTCTGGACACTCCACTCAAAGTGCGTTACAGATAATGGGGACTGTCCTCCACCACCACCAGTTTGCAGCCCCACCGGGATGATGCAACAGCAGCCTTAGTGTGCCAGTACACTCACCACACACCAGCTATCAGTGGGGAGGAGAGCAGAGTGATGAAGCCAACTGATAGATAGGGATTATAAGGAGGCCATGATTGGTAAAGACCAGGGGGGAATTTGATCAGGACGCCATTTTTGCAGTTTGTTTTTGCTTTGAGGCATCAAGGTGTGCAAATGTGGGTCCCCAGCTCAAGGGTTCATAGCCTCCAGCCCCTGAGAGCAGACTGCACTGCAGCGCCGGGGGGTGACCACTCACACTCCGCCAGCATGCCCACGGCACGGCACTTCTTCAGCCGGCACTCCTGGCACTTCCTGCGCATGTACATGTCCATCTCGCAGCCCCCGCCACTCTTGCATTTGTACACCGCCTTCTTGGTGATGCTGCGCCGGAAGAATCCTGCAGAAGGAGAACAGGAGCCGGGATCAGACACAGCCTTGTCTGGGTCCAGTACACACGTCACTGCAGTTGTTTTAATGATGACCCACATGACCTGCTGCAAGGCTCTAGCGCCATCTTGAGGCGGCAGACAGAATTACAGGGTTTTGCCAGTCCATACCATTAAATACTGTCGACACACATGACATTGTTTTTTGATTAGAAGAAGATAAATACCAAATTTTAAAAGATCAGCCATGTCAAAACAATAATAATATATTAATAGCTATGAAAACGTTTTTTTATGTTAAAGGAGACTGTACTTTTGTTGTGCTGCCCGACAGTAATCAATCAGCAATATTATATTGTTTCATTGCTCTGATTACAAATGAATTTCTCTCACTCTCAGGCAACTCAGGAGTTGAGAACTCAAGACTTGCCCTCCGGCAGGTTGTCTTGGCCTCTTTTTAATCATCACCAGGTGAAAACCTGTGGAGGCTCATCAAAGTGATCTGGGTAACCTGTCAATGAATGATTTTAACCCTTATAACTGCTGTCCACAGGTATCAAGCTAGTGATGACCACAAAGACATAGATAACCTGCTGTTCTGTGACCCTTAAGCTTCAGGAACGGGACCTCTGTAAGAAAAGCCCATAAGGACCAGGACTGAGAACCCCTGTGATGCAAGGGCAAGGGCAGCAGGTCCCTTCTCTAGACAGTGAGGGCCTTACCTTTGCAGCCCTCACAGGTAAGGGCATTGTAGTGGTACCCTGAGGCCTTGTCCCCACACACCACACACAGCTCGTCCTGCCCACGCAGCCTCAGCGCGCCAGAGCCCAGCCGTGCCCTTTTCAGCAAGGGTAGCCCAGGGAGGCTGGACTCCATCTCAGTGGGCAGCATGCAGGGAGGTCGACCCAGTTCGCAGCTCCCAGGTGGATAAGGTCCTTCCGGGCCCTGAGGGCTGTAGGAGTAAGGCGGGTAGCAGGCTTGTGGGGAAGGCGCCCCCTGTGGCATGGATGAGAACTGCAGATTGGAGTACTGGCTGTAGGAAGGCAGCTGAAGGTCATTCTCCTGGAGGGAGTAGCTCAGAGGGTCTGACAGCACATCTGCAATGGAAAGAAAGACTCAGGAGAGGGTTTCCATATCTCTGAGAGTTAGAAGAGTAATATTTCATCTCAACGTGTCAGGGTTTCTTCATGCCGGCATGTTTTCTCTGGGCTGCTGTTTGCCTGACTTCACTCGCAGCTGCTGAAGTAATCCCTGTCTCCAAAATTTAATACTGACTGAACAATTCCCTGTTACAGTGCCAGCATTATTTGTAGAGCTATACATGTGCAGATCGAGCTTTAATCAAGGCTTGAAGGATGGAAGAGCGAAGCTCCAGCTGATTACTTACTGCTGACCAGTCATCTCTCTGGCCAGGAGACAAGGGTCTGCTCTCAACATACTGAGCATCTGGACACAGCTGGGACGTGTTGGCCTACTGTCAGAGAGACCTCGCACGTACAACGGAGCAGGAATGTAATTCTCGCAGCCCTTTCTTTTTAGTATTTTCCTTTTACGAGGCCACCGAGACGCCATTGAATGGACCGCAGTGACCTTTGAACTGGTTGGACTTCAAAAACAGGATGCAGCTGGTTGGCTGGAACTGTGTTTTAACAGCATGCAGAGTGGGGGACTCCGCCCGTGTGAAAAGAGGGACAGGGCTTGTGCTGGAGGGGACAGCGTTCACACTGATTGGGATCGCAGATCAGAACTGCAGAGAGCAAAGCGATGACATCATTGGCAAAAGGCCTTAAGGATGTCTTAAGGAAACCAACCGCCAACTCTTCCCTTTCCTAACTCTCACTTTCACAGCTAGGGACGGTCTCGTAAGTACAGTAACCCTGGACCTTCAGTCATTTCCTGGGATGAGCTTGAACACCCATCCATCAGTTTTTAAACCACTTCATTCCCTTCAGGGCCACAGGGCAGGCCTATCCCAGGAAGCAATGGGCGCAAGGCAGGACATACCCTGGATGGGACGTCCGTTGCAAGGTACACACACACCCGGGCAAATTTTAGAAACCAATGAACCTACCAATTATTTGTTTCTTTGGACTGTGGGAGGAAAACCAGAGCACCCATAAGAAACCCACGCAAACAAGGGGAGAACATAGAAACCCCATGCAGACAGCATCTCAGGAATGGAACCCAGGGACCCAGAGATACAGGGAAGCAAAGCTTACCACTGCACCATCATGCCACCCATAAGCTTAAACAGTACAGCACAACTGTACAACCAGCATAAAAAAGCTATACAACATGATAAGGACTAAATGGACCTATTCAGATACCAATACATGGCAGATTGCCTAGAGTATGTGCAGCTGTGACTCCTGACAAGGCAAAAATATTTAGCAGTCTGCAGTAAAATGTCTGCAGGGCACATTCTCTGCTGCATTTTCTTCTATCCAGGTTAATGCATGTTCTAACTGATCAATATCTTATGCAGATTCTTAGTTGTAATTTGGTAGTTTGGCAGGTGATGTCATAATATTGACTGCTAGTCGTAATATTGTCCCTACCTGAAGTTCTAACAGTCTGGTTACACTATTAAATCCTACCATCATCTCTGCCTTCAGTCCGACCTAAGATATTCAGTCTCTTTCAGGTGTCTTGGCACAATAGCAAAATGTTGTGTTAAAATGGACTGTAAAGGAATCGTAAATAAGGTTTACTTGAATTGCAGCAATGCATTCATTAATCCTGGGTAGGTGCAAATGGGCTAATCACAAAGACACCAGGAAGGCAACGGAGGCTCATGTCTCCGAATAAAAGAAGCGTGACCCTGCGTAGTGAATAGTCAAATAAGCGCAGTGTTTCAAAATATTTTAGAGTGCAACAAACTTATATCATGCACAGGCTGCTCACAGACTGCACTGACTGCTCCAGAGCCTGAAGCAGAAGGCTCCTAGCCTTTACTGTCTTACACTGCCTGCCTGCAGTGATCAGCTATTGAGGAAGCTGAATGGAGCAGCACTCCAGGCATTCCAGTGCATTAAGTGGCACTTGGGTAATAAACAGTAAGATATGTGTTATTCTAAAAACTCTCATTTCTCGTTCAATGAAAACAACTGTGTGTTCAGTGAAAACAATTGCACCTTCTTAAATGAAGGTGCAATTCATTTTTTCTTATACATGCCGTTCCTCACCTCCCCAACTTGGAATCTCGAATGGTGAATCCACATAGCGCACTACCTCAACCTCCCTACCTATGAGGAGGACAGAAGACTGATGCAGCCGTCACTAAGAGTAACCAAGGTCATTGAGACAAACCTGACTGACTCCAGCCCACGCAGGCCCTGTGGCACTTTGTCAACTGTACCTTGACTCTCAGGCAATCCTGGTCAGAGTGAACTCAGAGTGTTGCTCAAACTTTTAATTTTTTTTTCTATAGGGTTCATTTTCTACTGCTTGGATCACACAGGAGTCTCCCTCAATTGGCAAGTGTGAATCAGGTGGTGCTCTGTCCCATTTCAAAGACAGAAGAATCGGGTGGTGCTCTGTCCCATTGCAAAGACAGGAGCGTGAGAAGTGTTTTCTTCCTTTCTTGGTAAAGCCAATTCCAATCTCCCCCCTACTGCCATTATTATCTCCTTCCATCTTTCTAAACATAATAACATCACAACAGGGCGTAAGTGGAAGATTAAATAATGCTAGCTTAGAGATAAAGGTCGAGTCTCCTTACACAGTGAATTAGGAGCTCACGGAACAATCTCCAGTGAAATCTGAACCAGGGGAAATCAGGGGTTTCTAATCCTGGTCCTGGAAGTTCAGCATGTCTATAGGTTTTTAGTCCATCTGCGCTCTTAGCACCATGATTGGCTCTTCACTTGGACCAACTTCTTCCAATTTTTCAGATGCTACTGCTTGAAAACCACCTGGACAAACCTGTCAGAAACAACAGATCTCCAGCACCAGGACTGGGCACCCCTGCATTAGATATCACTAAGGAATCAGTGTGTGTTGGTCCAGAAGAAGTTGTTTCTCACTTCTGGGTTGTACTTGAATGATTCTTGACCCTGATACAGTAGTACTACTGTGGCATTTCATTCCGACTCAACTGTTAATCAACTGCGGGACCTGCCATCAAGTTGATTATTAAGATTATAAAGAAGTTGGATGGGCTTAGTAATTAGTATCGTCCTTCAGCAAAATTCTGGTTTCCCAGCTTCTTAAAAGTACATTTGTGGACTGTAAGAAACTGGGCCTCTGAATCACTATAAACGTCCATTCCTACCTGTATTTGGACAGCAATCATTAGTCACCCACCTATTAAGATCTAAGAGATGGAAATAAAGTAGTAACCACTTAATGAGCAGGATGAAGAGTGAATGGGTAATATTGTTACTGCTGTGTTTTTATTTACAATGAAGGCAAAGTATTTTTGAAACCAGATATTTTAAAAACCTTCAATTAGCTTCTGAAAGTCAAATCAGTTTCAGTGGTAAAGAATTCAGTTGGAACAAAAAACAAAAGATACAGGGAAAGTCCATGACCAGGAGTAAAGACAATAGCTCTAATATATTTTAAAGTCCCATGAGTTTATGTTCCAGATGAGCTTACTTAATTGGGGTGATTATGTACTTAATTGCTATCAGCTGTAGCAGAGTTCAAGTTGAAATGAAATCCAGGAGAGAAATCATCCTTCTGTGCATAAAGCCTTAAAGAGGCTAGTCAGTGCCAGAGATACATTCTTCCCTGACCAGAGGACTGCTGAGCTGGTCCTTGAAATCCACTGTCCTGCAGGATTTTTAAGTGGTCAAGGAGAAGAGATCAACATTTGGAAAGCATGTTCACTCTTCATAAGTAAGATTGCGCATCCAATTAGTCATTCAGGTCATTACTGAGTGTTAAATCCTACAGAGCTCTTCTGAAGCGCAACAATTTTCTCACCTGTTTAATTCAAGTCATCTCAATCAAAATGTTCTGAAAATTATTATTTAAAAACTACCCACAAAACCTGCTACACTAGGGCTGGAGATCTCTGTTGTGCGTTAACAGTGATTTTCAACAAATGTTTTTATTAGTTTAAGTCCTTAATTTCACAAGCTTTTTGATTTTAATGGTTTTCTGCACTCCGATATTAGTTACAGAAATAATATTTGTGTATATATGTGTGATATTTCCAAGATATTTAGTAGCTGTATCTCTGTTTTGACTTTGTTTAGCATTTTTGCTATCCAGCAGTTTTCTAAATCACTCCTGATAGGTTTCAAATTTTGATGTATAGAAAAGGCTGGGAATGACACTGTTTAAACAATCCCATAATCATTGTTCTTAATTTTGTGTAGCCTCAGCAATTAAATTAATTTTGGTTATTTTTCTGCAAGTTGGAATCATATTTATAAGAAAGGTTGAATGGCTCCATTCTTTTTGTAACCTATCTAGTTTGTTTGGTTACTAGTAATTCATTGATCCAATGGTCTCATTAAGCATTTTTCTGAAGGGAACCAGGGTATCAGCTTTAACAATATAGCTAGGTAACTTGTTCCATACTCCCACAACACTTTGTGTAAAAAGGTGCCTTTCATAATTACAAAAAATGAACTTCTCCTTAGTTTCCATAGTTGTCCATTGGCTCATGTTTCATGTTTGATACTGAAGAGGTGCACTAAAAGACGAATTTTTGAGTACGTGAATATTGTCCTCTGCATGGAATTTCTATGTTCTCCCAGTGTTCACTTGTTTCCTCCAGGTGCTCTGGTTTTCTCCCATTGTCAAAAACATACTGGTAAGTTAATTGACTTCTGGAAAATGGTCCTGGTGTGAGTGTGTGTGTCTGTGCCCTGCAATGGACTGGTGTCCTGTCTAAGGTGTATCCTGCCTTGCAACCATTGCCTGCCAAGATCCGTGTGACCCTGTATTGGATGAAATGGTTAAACAATGAATGGATTTACTGGAATCCCATCTCTTGTAATGACCAGACCAAGAGCAACTGTGTACCTGATTGCTACCTGCATGCTCTCAAAGCAGAGCGTCGGCTCCAGGTCCTGATCCTGGAGTGCCTGCATTGAGCTCTCATCTCCGACAGGCGCTCATTGAACAGATGTTTTCTCTCCACAGAGGAACTTCCTGTGGGCTCCCCTGTGTGATTATGCTCCAATATCAGTGTTTGTAAACGGCATTAGCTCTATATAAACACTTGCACTGTCGGGGCTTGATTCTCATACTGGGAAACATTGGGCTGCCAAGATAAGGGCCAATTAATTCAGTACAAATTAACGCATCGGGTACTGATAGTTCATATCAGGGTCAAGGGCTTAATGCGATTTGTCACTCTTTGGAATGAGAACCCCAGGTGATAACACCTAGATGGGCATCTGTCACCCCAGAATTCAGTTTAATATTGGCTTTAAATCTTATAGGGAAGTTGGGCGGGTTATCAAGTGTGACAAAGAAGCACAGATTTAAATAAAAATGTATATTATTACCAAGTGTGAGAGACCCCTTCTCCTCAGAGAGGCAAATAGATTCACAGTTGTTTTACAGGTTAAGTATCCCTTTTTACAAAATGACTAAAATAATTTCCGTTCCAATTCATCACCATTAAAAACAGTCTGAACAATCGTACCGAATGCTTCTCTTCACATGCTTTAACGCTCAGACGTGTTTTAAAACAAGTTCGTTTCCATTACTTGGAATACCTTGCACTTGTAATCCTGTTAAAAGGCATTATTCGGAAAACACAAATGTTGACAAATCCCTCTGCATCAAAGAAGAGAACACTTTTTTCCCTGAGCTGCATGATTCTCTTACCGTAATACGGCAGGGGCTCTGACATGCCGTACCCATCAGGCACTGCCAGATAGCTGTTGGCAGCCATGCTGACGTCTGGCTCCCCCCACTCTCTCATTCAGGCAGCGTATTGGGCAAGGGATCTGGAAAGAGGGGCGGAGAATATCTGCAGAGTTGCAATAATAAGCAAGTGTATTGTAAAGATACATGGAGCGGAGCCATATATTTAAGGTTACACACAACAACACACAGGTATGTCATTTCTTTCAAGAATATACACATATTGGCAGCAGTAACCGGCTAGCATTGAATTTAGGAAAGTGTGCAACAGAGTCAACGGAGTCAGATGATTCCCACAGTTAATCAAGCTAAAGAATGGTTTTGTCCTAAAAAGAAAGTATGTAGATGTATTTCACATGTATATAAAGAATATATGAAGACGAATGATGGGCTCATCGCAAGAGGTCAGGAAGAGGAGGCTGATCAGATTTGTGCAGTGTGAGAGGTGGCAGGAGGGAGACTATTCAGTTTTCTGCATCTTGCAAGTATTGGAAGGCCACAGTAAGAGAGGTGGCTCACAGGAGGCAATCTGATGATCCGTTCTGTGGTGTGAGAGATGACAAAAGGGAGGCCAGTCAGATGCTAGCAGAAGAAAAAGTGATGAGGGCGGCTCTGCCCCCTGCATCGCCTCCTCCAGCTGTGAAACAGCAGAGCGCCCCTCTGCGTCTCCCAGAGGCCAGAGTGCAAAGAGAGCATCACCAGCGCCGATCGCCGGCAGGAGCACGCTCTGACAAGGGCCCGAAGCTGGAAGAGAACTGCGATCTGAGAGCACTGCCTCAATTCACAACACGTCCGGCCTGGCCTGGGGTTCAGACACTGCCAGGAAGTGTGTCAGGGCAGGGGGAAGACCTCCAGAGCGCAGGAGGCCACACGCTCAACCTGGATTGATCTTTCAGTCACGAGACACGATTATTTCTCTCTTCTGGCGCAGCAATGAGGCCCCAAATGCCATTCATTCTTCATACTGAACAACTGTGGAAAAAGTCACCAAAGTGCATTGCTTTACATACAAGTGAGGCTGGCTGTTCCTTTCATGGGCTACAGCGTACAGTGGTAAACACAGTGGGAGGTAGAGAACCATGGTAATCCTAAAAAGAGAGGTGGAAAGCCACTTTACAGATGCAAGTATCACTTGGAAAAATAAAAAGCAAGAAATGCTAAAACTAAGTATACATTTCCAGAAAGGTTTGTGGGAGCCTGAGTCAAGTTACCCAGCCATGTGGTTGAAGCCAAATCTGTTGTTTCTTACAATGGTTGGATGACATCCTAGTATCAGTTGGCTGCTAGCAACTAAACAAGCTAGATAAAGTGAATGGCCTTCTCAGGTTTGTAACCCTTTTTATGTTTTTATAGAGCAGCAGCCGTACACCAAATTGTGCTCAGTGCAAAGGGGAGTCACAATGACTCAGTCAGGCAGAGAAGTTGCTCTCTGCTGGAGAGACAGGAGAGTAGCACTTCAAGGCCAAAAGTCTGGAAGCATGTTTAAATTTAATTTTAACGATTAAATGTTTTCGTTATCGGTTTGGCAACAATAGAGCTCTTTGAGTTTGATTTTCATGGGGGTGGGCAAAGCTGTATCTTCCTCCTCTCTTCTCTCCAGATCTCTTATTTTTGCAGCCATTTTGTTGATAACTTTTTCAAAACAGATCGAAGACATGGATGCACTCACATAAATTCTCACGGTCTCTCATAGTTATTGTGTTATTTGTCAGTTATTCACATTCAAGTGACCACCTTCTGCCAAACACACACCCCTTAACACAAGACAGTTTGGTGTATTTAGTGCTCTTAGACGGAATAACTTAAATTATTGTCTTTAAAGAAAAAAAGGACTGAATTGCACAAGCTAAATCCAAGTTTGAGAAAATAACTCATTCTAGATTTTATATCCTAGCTTTGTTCAACAACCTTCCAATAATTATGGCTAAACAAAACCACAAACAACTTGAAGCAAATTCTCTCTCTTTGACGCTCTCACTTGCTGCCAAAGTCTAGGCTATGAAGTTCAGCAGAGAAGCACAGCTCACTGTCACAAGGAATGGGGGGTTTTCCCTGATGTATAAGAGCAGAAAAGCATTTCAGACATCTTTCCTTGGCTCATCACAAGTTAATTACCTCCCATGGTGGACGGGACAGGTCAGCTCTGTCAGTCTCAGAGCAGGTTAGCTCTCCCAGAGCCAGAGTGGGGGCCTGTGTGTCCGCCAGACTCCTTTCACTATGTTTACTGTGACAGTGTTTGTCCTGACCTGCTCATTCCCTGGCTGATGTTTAACAAGAGAGCAACTCAGATAGTCACTCTACTGGGAAGCCCCACAGACACACTGTGTTCTAAATAGACAGTCAGGCCTCTCTGTTTACTGGAATTCTGTGCCTTGAATGTCCCAAATGCACCAATACTCTGAGATTATCAATCAATGTTGAGTATATCATTGTAAATGTTAGTTTTCATTATTAGTTTGCTAGTTTATTCGTTTAGAACAAGTGTGCCCCTTAGCTTTCTGTGAAATGTCTCCAATGGGTTTTGTTTTGTATCTCAAAGATATGATAAACCTAGTAGTTTAAAATTATGAATGCATATGATCACTATAACTCCGTTTCTTCACTTCCATCCGTCCATTTTCTAATCTCTCCGTCAAATGCAGGGTCACATGGGGGCTGCAGATAGGGAGCCTATCCCAGCAAGCAACAGACACAAGGCAGGAGACACCCTGGATGGGATGTCAGGCCATTGCAGGGCAGTCACATAGACGTACACACACTCACACCAGGGCCATTTTTTCCAGAAGCCAACCACCACCTGTGTCACCTGTGTTCATGTAGGTGAGAACCCATCCTGCCTTGCACCTGTTGCTTGCTGGGTCATGCTCCCCAGACACTCTATGGAATAAAGTGGTTAGAAGATGGATGGATATTTTTCTCTTGGCCTGAAAACCCTTTTCCAATCGTTAGACTGGGCCTGTGGAGGAATAAACCTAGTGAATATTATTGTTTAGCAGAAAAATATGGGTAATTTCCCACTAAGTTCTGACAACAGGGAGGCACTATGTCCCCTGTACTGCAACCTGGAGAGGTTTCTCTGCTGATATGAAGGCTGATGAAGGCAAGAACACTGAAAATTGTTAGTGATTGTTCCTCTGCGCTGAGGAAAGCAAACTTTTTTTAAAAAGAAAAGTCTGAGAGAGACTTTTAGATTCTGTGAAGACCACGTGTGAAAGAGCATACAATGCAGATGCATCTGCTTTGTACTGCTTATTACTGGTCAATATTGCAGGTTATATATTAATACTTTTATTCTGGTCTGGGAGAAAGCTTAGCAAGGGTACCTCAAATACGTACCTTGTAAAAACCTATTTAAATGTTTATATCAGATTCAGTTCATTGCCATTGAGACTAAACTAAAAGATGAAATCCTCATGTGATTGGGACCCCCCGACTCAGGCACCTCCTAGCTTTTCAATGGGCTGATTGTGAAAGTGGACAGACAGGCATAATATGGTTTCTTATAATATTTTGACATGATTATAACCTGCTGAATAAGTTGCAATAAGCTACTCTTGTTTCAGGTGGAAGCTGGTCAGATTAATTTGAGGTTGCTGAGCCTGCACCTTCCTGCCTGTCAGCTCTGCTGCTTTGCACACAACCACAAGGAGATAAGCAGGGGTGCTGTGGAAACCAAGCCCTGATTCTGCAAACAAGGAGCAGAAAACAGGGGCTTCTTCTCATCTACAGCTTATCTGTAAATGGTGCACAACAGAGGCCTGTCACTGCGATTGCTATGAACAGAATAAACCCCAGAGATCCAACTAAAAGAAAATGGCATATCTGTACTGCTTTCAACACTGGGGAAAAAAACAGCTTACGAAGGTTACAAAGGCTCTGAAGCTATTTGGGTAATATTGCTTGTTCAGTTATTTACAGCTGAGCGACCCTACAGTTTTTTAAAGATCCCAGGGAGTCCACTGGGGCCAGGCTGTTTGTTCTAGTCATTTTATGTGGCTTCTGCAGTTTAAGGACAATACAAATCTGAGAATCTGATACTGAGGATTTCTGCTTCATTCTAACAATGCAGGAAGTGTACACCTGTCCATCCAGGAGACAGAAACACTGTCTCCTTAGAGGAAGAAAACTGGGAGTTTCCACACCATCTTCCTGGCAAAGAGAGTAAAGTCAAATCTCTGCTCCACAATGTTATCAATTTCTCCTAATGAAGACCAGCATAACATTCTAGTTGGTTGTAGATTCAGGTTGGAAATCACCACAGAATCACTAGTGCTCCTAATCTCTAGAGAGGAGAAGTTGTTTTTGTTCCATGGTAACTCATTCATTCTTTAGAGAACCAAAAAAGTCCTTTTCTTGCAAAAGCCAAGAATGAGAAATACCAGAGATAAACTCACAGCCCTCTGAGAAACACCAGTTTCTAAGAAACAAAAACACAAATCACTATGGCTTAAAAATGCCTGGTGACTAGAATATAGTCCCAGAATAAACAGATGGTCTTATAAAACTTGTTTAATAAACACACAAAATGTCCTAAATAACATAACAAGTTTTCACCATTCAGAATAAACTGAAATACTGTCAGCAACAACGGTATCAATTTCAAATTATTGAGATTTGATCAGCAATGCTTTGCAGCACTTAAATATCAGAGTTGCTTCGGGATTTGCTTTAAAACCTCAGTCTCTTTCATGAATATATATCCATCCCAGATGCACTGGACATAAGGCAGGACTATTAAGAGCCAAGCAGACCCAGCTATTTTGTAACTGGGTAGTTGAAGGAAACTGGATCACCCAACAAAAATCCAAGCAAAATGGAGTACATGTAAACTCCACACAGACACACCTCATAGGCCAGGATGGAACCCAATATCTGGATGAGGCAGCAGCAGACACTCTGATATTGATATTAGATTGTGTTTTTTTTTGCTTGACGTGTGAGGTGGCTTAGTTGCTAAGAAACACAATTGCGACAGCAGTTCAAGACAGGTACAAGACTGCCTACACCATACAAGTATGTCACTAAAATCACAAAAGCTCAGCAGAGACATCAATTACAACACATACACAGCAGGGGTCAGGATTCCTAGCACCATGCAACAGTGTAAAGTACTGTAGGTGGGAAGGCAGTATCTACAGTATATACTAACACAATGGCAGAGAATACGAAAGCTTAGAGACAACAGCCTTTACCAATCTCTGCTTACAAAAGTTTGCAAAGTGTATAGTTCCTATCCTAGGCATAAAAAAATAATCATAATAAAATGTTCTTAAAATCTTAATAAAATCTCAAATTAGCTTGTTTAAAAAATGATAGATTTTTCTTATCTTTTATAATGAAAGGATTGGTCATTTGAATTACCAAATTATATAGTTATAAAAGTAAACGTAGCTGTGCCTAGTCTTTGGTATGAGAAAATTTAAGAGAGGAAATCTATTTCGACATCACAAGGCTTAAAAACTTCACTTTTGCTAAATGTTAAGTTTTCTTAATGAGCGTGGTGAGCATTTTCTTTCAAAAAGTCTTGAACTGATATTTTAACATCAATTAAACTATCAAGAATTACACACTACACTTGATAACGTTCTGCATTTTCTTCCCATTTTGGGATTTTGGCTTTCTGCAAGTGTGGCATGGTGGTGCTGTGGTTAGCATTGCTACCTCGCAGCACTGAAAGCCTGGGTTCACTTACTGGGGTACTATCTGTGCTTCAGTTTCCACCCACACTACAAAAGCATGCTGCTAGCCCAATAGGCTAAAGGGAAAAATGGGCCCTGATGTGAGTATGTGTGTCTGTCTTCCCTGCGATAGATAAGAGTGCTGTCCAGGGTGCATCCTGCTTCATTACCTTGAATTGGATAAAGTGGTTAGAAAATGGATGGACACATTTTTCACAGAGATGCAAATTACCGTGAAAAAATACAGAAGTGAAATTTAAGTGTAAATTACGGAAGCCGTAACTACAAAACAATGTCCAAATGTCGATTTTCTGATCTGTTTTCCCTCAAGACTACATTTCTCTCACGTACGAGTTAGGCAAACTGGAGGATCTCTGTGTCACTGCTCACAGCAAAACCAATCTCAGGATCTCATCCTGTCGACAAGGAGATGTACTTCACTCAGAAAATAAAGGAGCAAGAATGGAGTGCTTCATGCTCTCCACACTTGGCTTTCCGTGCCAGACGCTTCGCCAGGCTGTTGCAGCGTGTGGAAATTCGATATCTCGCTGTCTCTTTGAAATCTGCCCTCAGTCAGGCACTGTCAACAGGGCCCTTGTTTGCCCCCTGCCTTCTGACTGGGCGGCTCAGGAGCCGCCGTGTTTGCTGTACAAGCAGGAAGTGGGCTCAGGAGATAAAACCGCCCGTGTTTCTGAGAGAGTGGTGACACAGGCACGACAAAGTCCAGGGCTGATGCAAGAGGTTCACAAAACTGTTGGAAGGCTCACTGGGGGCTTCATCTTTCATTAACTCTTTGACACCTTCCCTTTCAGAACTGAAATGTATCCTTGGTACCGTATGTTCCCAATCAGATCGAAAGACTCTAGAAATACCCATTTTCAGCTCAGGAATATTTAATAATACACAAATATATTATAAAAATAAATCAATGAATAGATTCAATATATAAATATCTTGGGTGGCATGGTGGCACAGTGGTTAGCCTTGCTGCCTTGGGGCGCTGGGGCCCTGGCTTCAATTCAGGACCTGACATCCTCTCTGTGTGGGGTTGGTATGTTCTCCCCATCTTCACATGGGTTTCCTCTGGGTGCTCCGGTTTCCTCCCACCAAAAGCGTACTGATAGGTTAGCTGGCTTCTAGGAAAATTGGCCTAAGGTGTGAATGTGCCTGTGTGTGTGCCCTGTGATGGACTGATGTCCCGTCCAGGGTGTATCCTGTCTTGAGTCCTTTGCTTGCCAGGGTAGGCTCCTTGTGACCCTGAATTGGAAGAATTGGATATAAAATGGATAGATGTCTGGATATACATATACAAAGAAGATTGAAAGATACAAGATCAGTCTAAACAATCGCTTGCGAGCTCAGAAAAGGAAGCTGTGGAAAGTGAGACCAGCTTGGAAACACAAAATCTGGGGCACTTTTAAGTGAAAGTTTGTGGCTGCCTGAAACAAACTACCCAACAACACTGTGGAAGATGATTCACTGGGAGTCTTTAAGAAAAGGCTATTGAAATTGTGAAACAATTACTTTAAGAATGCAAGAAAGGTTGTAAAGGAGAGGCAGCTATTCATTCCAATAGCGCATTAGGTGCTAGTAGTTAATTGATCTCAGCCAACCACTTCTTCACAGAGGTTTAGGGTATCAGCTTTATCACATTATTGGGATAACTCGTTCCAGGCTCCCACAGCCCTAGGTGTAAATGAAATCCCTCCAGTTCTCAGTCTTCAATGCACTTTCCTGTACTTAAGCCACTTGTTAGAAACCAAATGAGCAAGTTGAACTGAATTGTCATTCCTCTTTTTGGTAAAGTTTCAGAAGACTGCCGAAGTGAACTAACAACTGGTACTGAAAATGTTTTAAAGATACACAGCAATGGAAAAGGTCTTTTCCTCAGCAGGGAAGGTGTGAAGTATCAGATATAAACAATTTTAAGAGCTACTAATATCGTCTTCTTTGTAGTTAAATTTAAACAAATAAGCACATAATAAGCATTAGTGAACCACTGGGATCAAACAGCCAAATCACTAAAATGATTTGTAGATGTTATTATTTGTTTTCCACAGTTTTTTTCCAGTGTGTCAAAGTCAAAGTTTATGGCTTATGGCTGTGTTTTTCAAAAAACAACATTACTTAAGTGTTTCCTGTTTGCTTTCCTTTTTAATCATTTTGCAGTCTGCACAACAGACTGACCAAGATCTGCACCTCTGTAAATCAGCTAGTGACCTACACAAAGACACCCCATGAAGTGTTTCAGTACCATTGAATCCAGACTTATACAAGTACCATTGTGGACTACAGCGGCACAAATGAAGAGCTGTTTATTTTACGGATATTTTATTAGGCTCCAGGAAGGTTTTTCTGTTTTATTTATAAATAACAGAAGCTAATGAAAGTTCAATGAATTGCAGCTTATGACACAGCACAAACTTTGAGTGTACATAGAAAAACAGTGATCTTGCTATTATAAGTAGTAGTTTTAATATATAAAACAGTAGAAACATTTGCATAAGTCGCAACAGAGTGCTAGAATCAGCTGTAGTATTAGGAGTGTAAGTATAATATTAGTGGCGGTAGCATTTAAAGGAATATTTTATTCACTTTAGGACAGTGCCACATGTATCTGACACCAAAATAAACTGATATATCACCTTCTAAACTACTTGGTGATCATCCCTACAGCACATTTTAATTTGTTAACTTCAGCAGGTGTGACAGAGTTGTCCTTGTCTGGGAAAGGTCCTCTGTCTGGTACTATGTTATTGGCTACCACTGTGAGTAATAGGGTGGTCTGTCCGTACTAAGTACTGCTACATTACAGGAACATAAAATATGTTGACAGTCACTGAAAACGCATGAGTACTATCCTGTATATTTAAAGTAGTATAGCTAAAAAAACACTTTCACAGACATCACAATGTTTGTAGCTGGGGTGTTTTTTGTAAATACGACTTATTTGTGAATACCCTGACCTGATCTGTCCTGAGTATGTGATATTTTTGGAATAACTGAAAGGCGGGGATAACCTTATCAGTATCAGTCATTGTGCCATGTGTGGAAATATTAAGTTCTAATGCATATGCAATGGTTGCTTGTACACACTCAGTCATGACAATAACAGAGAGTGACTGGAGCTGTACTCAGGCTATAAAACGTCCTGCAAAACCGCTTGGATTCAGAGCACTACAGGGGCAGAGGTGAGGGATACACCTTGTGTGTCTTCTTGGGTGTTCTCCGGTAATTGCCTTTTTTGTAACAAATTAAAACTTGTTTCAAACCTTCACTGGGCTATGTTTTCACTTCTGGCATCTTCTAAATTGGTCCTTAGCAAAGTCAACAAATTTTGGTTATTTAGAGCCATACATACATTTCTGTACACTGCAGAATATCCATTCGTAAGGTAATACAAAACTCCTCTCCTGAGATTCAGTGCGAATCAATGACCGCAGGTCAGAGAAACTCTCAATCTTCTCAGCATTGCTGTGTAACCTATATAGAGACACTCTCTGAATTGGAAGCTGTGAAAACAATAAAGGTGTTTCCAAGTCAGAACCTCAGTAATGTAACCTGGCTCAGACTTCCATTCCGTTTCTTGTTTTATGTGCAAGACTGCTATCCTATCATAAAAGCTAGTATTATTTATTTCTGACCTGCTCAGGAAAACAGCAACAGGAGTTGAAAATTCCATTTGTTAAGACATGAAGAAAGCCCTGATACATCTATCAATAGTCCCATACCCTCAGAATGTTTTCATGTGCTAAATTATTTAATACTTTAACACTTATTAAAGTGTTTTTAGAAATGTTAACAGCTGGTTTGTGAATAATTTATCTGGTGTCATTAATAACACCTAAAATGTAACGGAAACATTTTCAGAAACGTGATTTGGTAATGTGAGAAAGAATCCCTGTCAACGTTCCAGTTATTTTTTATATTAAATATCTTAAATGGCTATTTCTGTGAGTTAATCAGGACAAATTTAAAGGTAAAAGGCTGAACAGGAGATCTTCTCCAACATCACTACAATTTCTTCTGTAATTGTTCTTCTCATTGTAATTTCTGACAATCAGAAATAGTCAAAACATGCATTTTAAAATCTACCTGATCATTTCTAAAGAAAACGTTTGCTCCTGTGTTTTTTTTCGGGGGGGGGGGAGCTGTATAAACAAACTTTTCTGCAAGTGACCTAAACTTTTGTCTGACAACAGCAAGTGTGCCTTCAGGCAAAGCAGGGGCTGAAACATTAAATCATTGACAGTATCATCCCTCCATGTCGGCAGAAGGGAACAGTGAGGGCAGAAGTGTGTCTGTAGTCTGCCAAGAAAAGGAAACTCTTTCTGTATTTTTCTGTCCTCACTGGGAAATTCCTATCTCGGTTCACACTGGAAGTTTGTGGTTTTAGTGTCTATAGTTTTTTGATTCAGTGCCGTCCAGTTCTATCTCCTACAAATAACTTCAATAATTGTGGTTTTGAAATTTGCTAAAGAAGACATAATATGTTGTTGTTTTCCTGCTTCCAACAGTCTTCCCTCTCTGACCTTTGACACGCTCCATGGATTACCCTGTATCCTTTAAAACATTGGCAGATAAGTTGAAATCAGGACTATTCAACACAGTAAATTTGTTGCAAAACAATTAAAGGGTTTGAGGGGATCTGTTTCTATGCATTCTGCTCTTAAAGCAGATAATTTGATTATATTACTAGCCACCTTACAGATGTTTTTGCTTTGAAAATTGCTCCAGTTTTTTCCAAAGCAAAATAAAAATACAAGTACAGACAATTCTTCAACCAACACTGCGTTTAGGCGATATTTTTGAAACACCTTTCAGACATCCGAACTCTTCTATAGTCACAGGAAACCTCGTCAGATCTGTGCCTTTAAATATTTTTACAGTGACTTCCAGAAAATGGGGAGAAGTGATTTGATCTGGTTTAAAAGACCCCCTGCTGTGCTGTTGTATTAATTTTTAAATTAGAAAACAGCTTCATTTCCAAAATGCTTTGCACTTCACTCGCTTGTCTCCCGTGTCTGTCTTCTTTGATTATCCTTCATAAGAATACGCCGTTATGCTGTGTGGACATGCCAAATGTGTTTTAACATCTGCCATCATGCACTCGGAGCATTTCTGGAGTTATTTTTAAAAGTTTTACTCACTGCCACGCTCACTCGTAAAGGCTGCTGTCTGGCCACTCTCTGCTTCCTCGCTTCCCCCAGTTCTTCTTCTGTGGGACACTCTGTCTCTCTTGTGCGCTGTCTCTGCACTCAGCCACTGAGGCTCCAGACTGAGCACTGCTCTCTCTCCTCTCTCCCAAACACTCCCCCCACTCCCCACCCCCCACACAGCAGCACGGCACTGAAGAGGGGGGGTGCTCGGAGAGAACCCACTCTCCTCTGGACAGTGCCTGGGTACAGGAGCAAGTCTTTTTGAGGTAAGGGAGGGGGATACCAGTATTGATATTAAACACTTAGATTGAATGGTTTAATTATGTCACCAATGGGCTTAAGGGCTGAGGGGGGATTCATTTCTGTAGATTTAGGACAGAGGGGGGATTCCGTTAATTATTGTTGAACAACCATGTTATTGACTTCCTGATAACTATTGTTACATTTCTCCAGTAGAAAGAAAAAAGAAAGAAATATCCTCATTCTCTTCCTCAATTTGAACATGGTAGAAGGAAGATTTTGTTGCTGTATTGTTATGAGACAATGATATTTACAATAGATTCCAAAGTTTGTATGTATATATATTATTGTCATTTTCAGTTTAAGTGTTTTGGTCTCAAATGAATTGTTGTGATAGACTTGGAATTGATCCTGTAATGACTGCAAAATCTATAGTATACCTAGTAAGTTGTGCATTTTACCTAAGTTTGTATCAACCCAGAGGCAAAAGATCTACTTTAAGTTGAGAGAAGGGGCAACTTCATGTTCCACACCAGGGAAAACATTTTCCTGTAATGTGTATTTCTTAATCCATTTAATTTGCATATAATAAATACATTTAGATCACCTTCTATCACAATTTCAATGTTAAAGGGGAACTGCTTTGTACATCATATTTCGGGGTTAGAAAAAATCAGTATTGATGAGTGCATTTCAAGCTGCAGTAAAAGTAAAATGTAAGCAGTAACTTGTAAAACCTCCAATTTACATCACAAAATTTGCCAGCAGCTACATCACCCCGCAACGAACAAATGTCAGCCCACTGAAGCTTAGCAGGTGTGAACCTGGCCAGTACCTGGATGGGAGACCAAGGTTGCAGTTGGAAGTGGTGTTAGTAGTGTTAGTGGAGCCAGTAGGGGGTGCTTACCCTGGGGTGTGGGTCCTAATGCCCCAGTTATAGTGATGAGGACACTATACTAGAAAAAGGCACCATGTTTTGGATGAGACGTAAAACCGAGGTCCTGACTCTCTGTGGTCATTAAAAATCCCAGACTTTTTCTTAAAAAGAGTAAGGGTGTACACTGGTATCCTGGCCAAATTTGTATCACGTCACAATTCTTGGGAACTCGAATGCAAGTTTGCAACAACGTGGTGACTTACAGTACTTTCAAAGAGTTCACAATTTTGTGCTTAATTTAACATTTGTAAAAAAATTTCTATAACGTAAGTGAATTTATTCTGTTACCAAGATTTAATAACCGGTCTGAGAAATTGGGACAGCAGTTCCCTTTTAATTTAGCTGTTCTCAGAATTGTAATGTTTCTAAAGCATATTCACAAGAGGCAAAATACCAATGATGGATAATAAGACAGCTATGGCACAAAATGTCAGTTGATGACTATAAACTGATGTGCAGTTTGTTGATTCTGGGTGATCAGAGCACACAGATTAACACAACAATAACACATAGCACGGGCATAAAGTTGCACAATGAAAAATTGTTGAATTATCAAGAAACAGACTTTATTTCTTCTCTACACTCATTTTATATCTTGAAGGCATTTAATTAGTACTGATGCACAATGAACATGGAACGGTTTTACTTCAGTATCTCATTGGAAACAAACATAAAGTTATTTACATTTTAAAAAGTGAGTACATAAGTTGCTTGAATAGTTCTTGGAGGGCAAAATATTGGAATCAAGCTATGTGATTTCATAAAAAAACAGGTGCTCAGTTTGCAATTTGGATCAAAATGAATTTAAGAATCTGTGTAAATGACTATTGTAAAAGGCAAGATTGTGATTAATGCTGCAACAGTGTAAGAGTCAACCATTTCCCACCTGAGACCTGAAGACCACGTGGTTGGTTTCAGTGTAACTGAAGGTGGCCTGACTGTGAGACAAATGTTCCACTTCAACAATCAGTAGACTAGTCCAGAGAATCCAGAAAATTGGCTCTGTGAGGGACTGAATCACCTGTGAGGCAAAGGAATCACCATACAGGCCCAGAACAATCTGACCCACCTGTTTGTTTTCAGACTGCAGTGGCTACAGTGTGAGGAATTCCAAAAACAATAGCCTGCTCATCTGCATAATAACTGGATCACCATGTTCTTGATGATCTGCATGCTAGATGGTGACATCTAAGCTGGTTGTAGAATGGGAGAGATTCATTTGATTTTTCTCTTGATGGTCCTGACAGGAGACAACCTGGGTGAAGTTGTCATGGTTAGTATTATGGTAATTGTTGCACTGTTCTAGCCAGGCTGTGTAGTGGTAGAACTGTGATTATCTAGGGAGACATCTCCTTTAACTCAAGAACAGCTCTGAAGCAGATTGAGGGTTCTCTTACAGCTCAGAGAGCAGTTTCACTGACAAAGGCCTTGAGCCAACAGCTTTTCCATTCCTGCAAGACACTCCAGAAGGGTCCATTTCCAGCAGAACAATGCAAGACCATGCAGTACTAGGATTACAATGACATGACTTCCAGAAAACAATGTTGCGGACTTGCAGAGGTCTTGCAGTAACCCGCTATTTCTCCTCATCTGAGTCCAATAGAACATCTGAGGGACCAAGTTGGCACTGCCATGAACAACAGACAACCTTCCCCAGCTGGCTGCATGCTGCACAGGAAAAGTGCTGAAACTTCCCACAGTATTAAAAACTTTTCATTGATTCATCTCGTGGTACTGTAGATCAACACAAGCATTTTACCAAGACTTTCTTTTAAGCTTTTTTTCCCCTTTGTTCTAATTTTCCCTTTCCCTTTCTCTAAAAACAAAACAAAATTAATGAAGTCCTTCAGAGCTCATCTCAACCAAAGACCAAGAGAAGTGGGGTTCACACATAAATGAACTTGCAGTACAGCAGTGACAGCTTTCGCACAAAGGATTTTCAAACAACATTTGTCATTCAAAACAGTTCAACAATATATTAAAAGAAGCTTTTGAGGTTTTACAGAAAAAAATATTATCAAAAATGCTTGATCGGATTACTTTATCAACTACTTCATTAAAAAGAATTCATAATAGAAATTCCTCTGATCATATTGAAATGGAGCTGCACTAGTTTGATAAAGTGAATAAAATTAATACTAATTAAATTAATATTTCACATGCATTCGAATGTGTGCAGGGGGTAGGTAAGATCTCAAAATACCTGCTATCACCTGTAAATACACTTTTTATTATAGTTGTTGTAACAAATTTTGTTTATTTTGGAAAGTGATCAATCTTATCCACAGTGGTAATGCAGTGAAATTGATTTGGATATAGGTGTATTTATAGTGTTTATATCAAATCAGTATAATTTATAAAACCAAATAAGCAACCTACATTGAAATCAGAATCAATGCTCTATAAGACATTTGTTAATTAACTCCTTAATTATTATTTAAACCCACACCTGTTGTCTGTAGAGAAACAGGACTGCTTGCAGATCCCTGCATCTGAATAGATCTAATCACTTTGCCTTTCTTTTACTAACATTTGGCGACGGGACCTCCTAGACTCTTGAATTCTTATTTCCAATAATTCATTACTCGTGAGTTGCACAAACGAGGACCTTTCAGAAACACACTTGGCCCAGGAACAGAGGAGTGAACAGGGCTATCCCAGGACTGGCAGGAACACTGTGAACCCTGCTGGGTCAGACCAAGCCTTGATTTACTGGAATTCAGCACTACGCCTTGTCAAGAGGACACTTTTAGTGGTGTGATGTACTTCAGGAACGTGCTAAGAACACATGGCTCACTTTGAGGAAGTCTTCCTCCACAGACTGATCCACAGCTTCCAGAATGTCCAGAATCCCTTAGTTTTCATTCTAGCGGAGCTTCCACTTTATTAATTGAACCAATCATTGCCTTAATTCGTCAAGATAAACGATTGAAGATGCATATATAACTCAAAGGGCTGGAGCTCCGCAGAACGAGGGCTGGAGAAATCATCCTTCTCCGCTTCCTATATAACAGTTATATAGCATAGGAAGGATTGTTCTTTTAAATACTCTGCCACTGTGTTCTCTCCAGAGCTCCATTATTTTGTGCACATCCACCTTTCCGCGCAGTGATAAAGCAGATTTCCTCAATTCAGGCACCCAGTAGTTCCTGTTTTGTGGTCCATAGCACTTTTAATGAATATATTTTTACCTGAATACATACGTATGTATTTTGGTTTTTATGCATTGCTTTTGGTTCCACAAGAACACACATAGCTTTTAAATGAGAAAATTTCAAATATTGAACTTCAATTAAAGCTTACCTAAGTGTGGAAGGCAAGACTGTATTTGAACTGTCTCCATTCCAAAACGGGGATTTCACTGCTCAGCGGGAGAGAAGGAGTTACACAGCGTGGGAGTGAAGAGCAGTCCAGTGGGCTCATTAAGACATTCCCAGCAGCAGCGAATGTTTATAAACACTAAATAATCTACTCTCTTGTGATTGATGGTGGCCGCTATCACAGGCTCTTCCTGTAGCCCCTAGAACAAATGATTTTTGGATTAAGGAGATGGTCCCAGCACCTCATAAAACATAACAGCACTGGGTTTCGCAACCAGGCGACAACAGCCTTCTCCTTACAGCGTTCCAATAAATCGTGCTGCCTGACCCCCCTACCTCTCCGCCCCATGCTGGCTGGGTGGGCTTTCTGTCACTCTGTCACTGCTGGCTGTGGAAAAGGGGATTTTGTTTCCACAAGGTCAAAATTCCATTCCCCATCAAAACGGCATAAAGCAAAAATAATAAAAGTCCAAGTGAAGTTATGACAGTATTGGCAAAGATGGGGTCGTGCTCATCGGTTTATTCTTCTCCTTAGAGACCAATACTCCACAGCTGGACAGGGCTCTGAGGTCAGCAGTCATGGGACCTCATCTTCGGGCCCCTGTATCAAATGAGATTTTCTGGAACATTCCTTGCAAGTGGGAGGCTGGGATTTTGAGATTGGTGGCTAAGGATGTCCAGGTCAGGAATTGAGTTCTTCCCTTGAGCACAATTTCTCACAGTGTCCCTCGCTCACTGTCGTCACTCATCTTTTGTGCCAGAAAAAAATAAATGTCAAATTTGCAAGACTGGGGGGGGGGGCTCGTCAGTCATAAACAACCAACATTCTTGAACTGCTGAAAGGTGTCGAAGATGGAAGGTAGAAATTAGAGGAAGAGATATGTAAGTTGTGCGCATAAGAAACACTTTTGTAACATGACACATCAAATAAATATTTGGGGTTTTATGGTGGTTATCACTACTGCTTCCCAGGTCCTGGACTCAGTTCCAGTTTGGTTCACCTATCTGTGGGGAAATTGCATGTTCTCCCCACGTTTACATGTTTTTTATGTATTTCAGTTTCTTCTCACCTTTTGAATACTTGCAGGTGAGTTTTCGTTACGTTCTCTTTCTTGTGAAGATTTCATTAGATTACAACTGTAGGAAAATAGAGACAATGGAGCTTGATGGACCAAAGTTTGATGAGTGATGGGAGAACTTTTTATTTCACTGGAAATCTAACACAGAAGCTTAGCTCTGCTGCTAACAACATAACATCAGTCTATAAAGAAAATGGGAAAAGTCCCGATTGCATGAACATACATCAAAGGTGCTAGCAACTGGGCTGCAAAATTGAACATTTCCAAATGCTTCCCTTATTTCTAAAACCTCGGCTTTTCACCCTGTTGCCTGGCTTGTGTCCGATTGTGTTTTCAGGCCTGATGTAATTCAGACAACCGTAACGAAAACTCAAGGGTTTTAGCAATATTAGCCCTTTTTTACGGGACATTTTTACAGGTGAATGCTTCAATTGTGCCACAAAAACATGTGCCTATTTTTTTGAAAATGCAGGAGAAGCTGTGCGTTTAACCTTTGGAAATGAAAAGAAAAAAAAAGCAAGTCTTGCAAGAACTCTTATCTGAAGAGGATCCCAAAAGCAGTTTTTTTATTAGAGAGTGTGCTACCACAGGTTTATTGTAACTGGAGCTCCTACAGAGCTGTTTAATGTTACTAATCTAGAATGGGCCAGAGATTTAGTCTGGTTTGTGTTTGTATTACAAGCTTTAGGACTCTGATACACTGGAGGGAAGGAGGATGGTTCTTCCCTCATTACAGAAGATCCAACTCAGCACTTTATCAGTGAGATAGTGTGGCTTCATGGGGGCCTGCAGGGCTTCTTTAAAATACCCCCCGGCCCTGTCTAAAGCAGCAAGCCTCCCTGTTGCCTGGCTTGTGTCTCCTGGAAGTGTGTTTACTGGAAGTGAAGACCTTTCAAGGCCCAGAGTCCCAGCGTTAGGCAGTGGGGATAATGGGCCAGCACAATCTTTCCAGCCTGCCCTCAGGACCATAATTTTCTCAGGGCTGGAAAAAAAAGCCAGCGGAGTCAGCAATGTCAGGAAACACAAAGGGCAATTAATTATTCTTTACTGCAGGTTATGCACAATAATTAAGTGGTAAAAAAAAATACATCCCAAATCTCCCATCATCCTCTGACTACCTGCGGGCTGGAAGCAAATCTTTCCATAACCAAGAATGCTTAATGTCCATATTATTTCCACTTCAGGCAACTCTTCACAAATTCTGACACTCTGGTAGCGATGTGTGATTCACTGCACAATAATTCTGCTTGCAATTTATCCAAAACAGCCCTAAAGCGGTTTGTATAAGCCATTTCCATAGATGTGTCACAAATTGAAAGATTCAGTCTGTAAGCTAATAACAACATATAGAATTGTATCATTGAGTTATTCTGACCGTTACTACATGGTGTGTAGCCAGAGTGATTTCCAATCTGGACATACGTACCTGGATCTCTGACCTAGTGCAAGACAGTAAAAGTTAACCTCTGATTATACATGTATAATGGGGCTGAGTGATGTAGTGGGTTCATGTCACTTCTTTACTCTAATTATTCCAGTCACAATTAATGGGGTAATCCTTTTGAAGAACTGGTGTCCTATCTGTGGTCAGAGGGGGTCACATGCTCTCTTAACGCCACGGAAACCAGGGAGATCACTGGCCCATGAGCCGATGTGATTGCAATGGAAATGACCTACATCTATGTAGGTAATTATATGTAAGACGTTGTTGTTTTCTCTGCTTGTCAGCATTTTCTCAAACAGACAGGTGAAAATATAGAGAAAAACCAGGGCTACAATCCAGTATAACTCTGTGTAAAGATCCTTGTGGGTCCTATACCACTCATGTGCATGGAGCCTTAAGTATGAGATTAAATACCTCTGGTGTAAAAGATAGACTCCTTTTCTAATGTACTAATGTTTTAATGTAATAGCTTCAAGTGTGTCAAGATGTTTTGCGCAATGTTCTTGTTGTCAAGGAGATCTTAAAGGGAAATTTAAACACAGGTGGTGTCATGTATTATCCCCTGACTGCTGAGCTCAGGCTTCACTGTGTCAGTGGATTCTTCCGGCGGGCATTTTCTCTCAGGGCCTGTATGGGCTCCAGCCACATCAAGGAGAGATGGTGGCAGCGAAGTTGGCCTGCAGCCCCCAATGGGACAGGACGCTGAGAAGATCCCTGTGTATCAGGCTTAGCAAACATTACAGGACCTGATAACAGCTCTTGACATGACAGAGCCAGCAAATGCTTATCACCAGCTTTCACTGAGGTATTTACAGGCGTAAGTGGGGCAGGGGCTGAGGTCAAGGGTAGGCACACAAGAGTGTCCTTCAACATGGGAGAGACCGTTCCTGAACAAAAGCAAAAACATGTTCCTCGAATTAATTTATCATTTACATTCACACCAGTATTGCTAACTTGTGATTTTCATGTAGCCTGTAGTTTTGTGAGACAAGCTCCTCGTAGGCATCACAGTTTCTCGCAGGAGATTTGGGGCGACTCTGTAGAGGATTTTAAAGACAAAATTACTGATAGATAGATAGATA